TCAGCCCCACGATGCCGGGAAGCGGAGAACAACGAGGAAAGAGTTGACTTACTCAGAGCTGAGATGAGACCAACACCGTAACCGGCGAAGAAACGACCGGCAATGAACAATGGTTGCGCGGTCGCGGCCGTCTGCAGAATGACACCGAGGTTGAAGACGACACCGGCAGAAACCATCAAACCGAGACGGCGGCCAAGTAGATCACCAAATGGCGCAGCCGTCAAAGCACCGAAGAAGGTACCAGCTGAGAGAATGGAGACAATCAGAGAGTCCTGAGCTGCTGTGATACTGAGATCTGGTTCGGTGGAGAATTCCTTCTTCCAGTAGTCCATGGCAATAATGCCAGAAATGGTACCTGTGTCATATCTAGGGAGATCAGAACGTGCGTGTGATACGACAACGACGTGTAGGCTCACCCGAAGAGGACACCACCAAACGCGACGAAGAGACCGATAACAATGGCAGGCCTTGGAAAGAGTTAGGTGTGTGCATGGTATCGTGTCCAGTGAAGCTTACCATGCCTTACCAGCTGTGTCTGGCGGAGGCTTGAGCATGAAACCCATGATGGCAAAGTTCGATTTGTCTTCTTAGTGATGGCAATTGGCGATGTCGCGAAACTCGAGACGCGTGGTCAGGCCGTTCAACGGAGCGCGCAGTCACTCTTTATCTCAGGATGCTAGCTCCGAGCATCTCTCCATCCAGCTCGCGATCCCGACAAACCCTTGTCCCATGCCGCTGCACCTCAGTGCCATATCACAAGTTGCTAATCCCAGTCAGTTTCCCAAGCCAACCATTCTTGCATGGTATGCCCCGCATCATAACATGGAGCGTACCGCAGTTGGTTATTACCCCGTACTCGGCAGGCTGACCTCCCTCACACCACTTACGTCGGAGGCTGGTGACAAGACAGCGATCATAGAAGCCGGTCACGATCGCCCAGCGGCTGTTCGTCACGGGAGCGGACAAATACTGTAGAAGTGGTGGCTGAATCAGACCATGTTTACGGGCAAAGCATCATGCCAATTCTTCCCTTCCGGCACGAGCGCATAGAGCAAAACCATCACGCAGGAAATGCCGCACATTCTGCAGGCAAGGCGACGCGTTCTTCCAGAAGTTTACCGCTCCCAATGATCGCGTCAACCGTTCGGCATGTCAGAAAAAGGATGGGCCGATTGTCTCCCTTGCATCCCCAGGAACTCCAGAGTGGAGACTCGTCGGTATGATTCTCGGGGTGTTGGACATTGGCAGAGAAATGTTTTCCCCGCGCAACACCAAGATGACCGTAACGAAAACGAAAGTGCTACACGTCGGATGCAGCGGCATGTTATATTGTCGTCCTTTCATGAGGAGGTCTAGAAAATGTGCTCGTGAAGGTTGTTGTTCTCCTGTGTAGATGCTGTCGCGCTGTTCCTTGAGCCAATAAGCCTTCGCTTCCTTTCGCTTCCCTTCGATGTTCAGTGCTCGGCATTGCTTGGACCGACGCGATGACTCGGGGACGTGTGCTTACGGCGCAGCATCTGCATCGCGATGTCGATGATGAGTGGTCGACGGAGCGGTCATGCCTGACATGTGCCGTGCCGTCACCTCGGTCTTACTGCGACAATGAACGTCTGTCTTCCAGGCTGATTTTCGGGAAGTGGAAGGATGGTTGAGGTTGATGAAATGTGGAGGTACTCCGGGGTAGCTGCGGAGTCTAACGGGCGCACTGGCGGCGCTGTACGTCAGAGGCATCGACGCATCGCTAGAAGCCACGAAGACGTTTTTCGCGCATCGAAGCTCGATCGCGCAGGTACAAAGTTTGCAATCGAGGCTGCAGAGGGTTTCAATACCAGGTCCTGGGATTGGGGTCTCAGTGTACCAAATTCTAGGAACAAGCCCGCTCGTGTGTTTAGCAAGATTGGTTGGGCATCTCCACCAGGGTGCGACGATCGTGACGATCTGCTGAAAACAGTGGTGACATGTCCACCTAACAAGCTTCTTTGGCAGTAGCCAATTTCGAGTCAGACATCACGAGTAATGGCAGGCAGCTGCTTGAAATATGGCGATGCAAACTTTTCCTGGTGTAACAGGCAGGAGCTGCCACGCACGTGGGCTTGTTGTCAAAGGCGAGACGGAAGTCGCGACCGGCGCAAAAACTTTTGCCGAGAGGGAAGAAGCGCAAAAGCGATCCAGCCTCATTGACAAGAGATCAAACCACCACACATCGACGCGAAAGCCAATTCGGCGACAACAAAACTCTTCCGAGCATGCATTGGTATCTAGCGAAAGGAGCCCATGCTCCTGCTTTTTGTGCTTCCTGCCTTCCAAACCAACAACACACTACGCCTTGTTCTTATCACCGCTCTTTCTCCGCGCCTTCTTAGACTCAACCTTGGTCTCTTTCGCGCTGACGCCGTTGGGAGTAGACGCGACTTCGATACCGCCGCCCTTCTTCTCTTTCCTGCCCGCCTTCTCCTTTGCGCTCACGTCGCCGTTCTTGACCTTTGCTGTCTCCTTGGGCGACTCCTTGGATGCCTCCTTAACAGTCTTCTTGGGCGACTCCTCAGAGGTCTCCTTAGTGGTCTCCTTGGCAGTGCCATTTGCAGCCTTCTCGCCCTTTGGCACAACAGCCCTAGGGTCCTTGCCCTTCCTGCGCATCGTCTTAACCTTAGCCTTCTCCATGTACTTCTCGTCCTCATCCTCGTCGAAGCCACCAAAGTCTGATTCCTCGTCGCTGTCCGCTTCGATGGGCCGACGATCGACGATCTCAAGTCCGGTGGCTGGGGCGTTGGGGTTGGCGGTGTTCTTGGCCTTTGCAACTGAGGATTCGTTGACGCCAACGGCGTTGGGCGGGGTAGGCGCGATCTTCTTGAACTTTGCGACGAAGAAGCCGTCGACGTTGTATGTGTGAGGGTAGTATCTCCTTGTCATCTTCATTGAGGGGTGGAAGGCCTTGCCGCCAATGTTGGTGAATCCTTCCTTACCAAAGGTGAGACCGGTCTCTACGAGCTTGACGTTCGGTCGCTTGTTCAATGCGTACTGAACGACTTGCTCGTTCTCTTCGAGAGTTACTGAACAGGTACTGTAGACAATGTATCCTCCGGTCTTCGAGTGGTGGTTGACGGAGTCGATAGCAGCGAGCAACAGCTGCTTCTGGAGATGGGGTAGCTTCATGAAGTCTGCTTCGGTCTTGTTGGTCTTGACACTGGCATCCTTGGCGATGACACCGGTACCAGAGCATGGAGCGTCGAGCAGCACACGGTCGAATCCACCCATGACCCTAGGGAACTCAAGAGCCGAGTAGTGGGAGACGATGACGTTCCTCGCGCCTAGACGATGGATGTTGCCTATCAGACCCTTGGCACGATCCTTGTTGGCATCGTTGGCAAAGATGCATCCTGTGTTCTTCATCAAAGCTGCCAAATGTGTTGTTTTTCCACCAGGAGCAGCAGCCATATCTAGCACGCGCTCATTTTCTTGAGGTGCCAGTGCCATAACGGGCAAGAACGAGGAAGCGGCCTGGAGAATGTAGTGTCCAGCGAGGTATTCCTACAGAGGGTTAGTAATGGTTTGAAACATTCATTACACGCCAGGCTTACAGGTGTGGCTCCGAGCGGCACTTGCGCATCGAAAATCTGCAGACCGACTTTAGACCACTTTCCAACGGGCTCAAGTTGTACACCGCGGTTGATCAAGCTTTGCGCAAGTTCTCTTCGGTGTGTTCGGAGGGTGTTTGTTCGGATAACGACTGGTCTTGGGGTTTCGTTGGCTTCGAAGAAGGCTTGCGCTTCGCGGGGTGGGAAGAGGTTGAGTAGCTTGTCAGCTAGGAATTCGGAGTAGCCTATCAACAGTATTAGTATGCGCAAACACAGGACTCTCATAAACCATCAACGTACCGTAGTAAGCGCAGATGTCCTTCAAAAGCGACGCTCTGTATTCCGCCCTACTTCGCCCCTCCTCAGCCAGATTCTTGAAGTCGTCCAGTACACGGATAGTGTCGGTAAGTCTTGTGCGCAACAGCTGGATGTCCTGGTTGACGAGATTCGTGATCGGCCTGCCATCCTCGTCCTCGTCCTCTAGGATCTTGGGTCTCTCCGCGACGATGTTGGTTTGCATGTTGCTCTCTTCCAACTCGGCTTGCGCCTCCGCATCCTCAATCGCCTTCTGCATGTCCAATCGCGTAGACAGACCAGCAATGTTGGCGGCTGTGAGCTTCTCTTCGGCGTCCTCCTCGTCATCGTCGTCTGACCACATGGCCGCGCCTCGCCTGATATCGTCGTCCGAATCTACAACGTCGGAGCCGAAGTCGTCGTCGTCCATGTCTTCGTCGTCTTCGCCTTCGGATGCGCTACCGAGCGCATCAAGTCCGGTAACGTTGATGTTCTCCAAATCGGAGTCCTCAATGTCTGACATGTCGTCCTCATCGTCCGAAGGTGGTGGAGGCGCCGACTTCTTTGCCTTTGCTTTCGCTCCGTTCACGACAGCAGCAGCCGTCTTCAGAGGCTGCTTCACAGGCTTGACGGGCTTTCCAGCTACCCTCGTCTTGGGTACCAATTTGGCCTTGGCCTCCTTAGCTTCCCTTGCAGCAGTCCTGCTCCTCTTCTTGCGCTCCGGGTTCACGGCGTCGGGCGCATCTTTTCGCTTCCTCGTAACTAGCGATTCGTCGAGGACATCGGGCATGCCCTGCTTCTTCATACGGCGACCTTGACCCATGGCGACAGATTTATCCCGCAGGTGTTTAGTGGGCGGTAAAACAAAAAGGTCGAATTACTGAGAGATGGCAGCGTGAACCAGCAGCGCGAACACCGAACTTTCGCTAGCACTTTGGAACTTTTTCCACGCTAGCGGACTTCCTTTGGGCTTAGCGCGTTCTTTGCCCTGGTCGAGCTGCTGCGGTCCACTGTCCCGCAACACCAACAGCGTCATCGCACGGGAGCTATACACATCTTCGACCGTCGCGCAATCCCACGATATCGAAACACTACTCGAAGTCGCATTCAACGAGCCTCAAACAATCCATCATGTCAGAACTCGCATTCTGCAAATCATTCCTCAGCGCCTTGGACGCCCGCCCGCCCAAGCTCTCCAGCGATCACATTGCAGACGCACGCCAATATCCCGCACAAGGCGCCGTAAGTCCTCGCAGCCCATCCTCCACACATCCTATATCCATACGCGCAATGCTCATCAACTGACAACCCAACCAGTACACCCTCCCCCGCCTCCCACACCCACCCCACCCGCAACGACCAAACCCCAAGCCCACCACCAGCGACGATGCCTCCACACCATCCTCCACTTCAATCTCCGTGACGCTCAAACCAATGAAGCCAACCACACCCACCATCCCACTCAGCTCAATCGACCCATCGAAAACCTCCGTGTACGACCTCAAACAACAGTACGCGACACAAGCCTCGTTATCAGCAGCCAAGATAAAGATTCTGTACAAGAAGAAGCCAGTCACAGATTCAAAGACACTGTTGGAAGTTATCGGCACAGATGCGGGGAGTGAAGTCGAGTTTGGGGTTATGGTCATGGCTGGCGCTGCTGTTGGTGGGGCTGCGAGTCCGGCGTCGGCAGGGACACCGGTGACGAGTCCGCCTGCTGTTGCGCCGCCGACGGAGAGCGAGAAGGGGCTTGCTAGCGCTGGAGAGACAGCTGCGGGTACAGCGACTGGTGCCGCAGATGCGCCCCTTGGTCATGGGAAGGACGTTGTTGCGACAGACGAGTTCTGGGGCGATCTTAAGAACTTTGTGCTTCAGAGGACCAAGGATGCGGACGAGAGTGAGAGATTACTAGGCGTGTTTAGGGGAGCGTGGGAACAGAACAAGTAGCGATCTGGCATAGCTGCTGGGGCCAAACAATTGCACTCGCAGATATCCGGAAACAACATCACAATTAACATCGCGCACGTCACTTCATGCAAGCTTCCAACACAGAGCTGTCCATCGACGACAATTTGACCAGTTTAGCCTATCAAAAGCATACCAAGCCTGATAATGCAAGTTACACCCAGCACTATCACTGCCCACATATCGCATGTTTCGTCTGTAATCATCATGCGCAAAAGCTCGCTATGCCATGACCGCTGCCAATCAACCGCTCGAATCGTTTTCATTTCATATCATTACCAACCGCAGTCGTTCCTTCCTCCATACTAACAGGTGCGCGAAATCGACAGGTCGGAAGGGAAGGTGGGGGGAGAGGCGCTTAGCGGCCCTTGGAGACACGGCTCTTGATGCTCTCGAACTCGATGTCGTCGGCATCGTTGGCTTGGATATCGGCGGCGAGACCGTTGAGGGCGCGCTTGATGGCTTCCTTGGAGGATGAGTACATCATGCGGGGCTGTCAATCGTTAGTCAACCTTTCCCAAACAATCATCTTCCCGTTGCTGTGACGTACGTATTGCGCCGCATCATCTGGCGTCCAGCTGATAAAAGTGATCTTGCTCCTGGAGCCCTCTCCGCTTTCGAGCTCGTACTCGACGTCGAACACGGCGTAGCGACCGCCAATGCCCTCCTTGCCCTTGCGGTCCTTGCTCTTGGCGTTGAGCAGCTTCTCGCGGAAGACGTCAAAGTTGGCCTCCTTGGAAGTCTCCTCGACGACAATCTCTTTCCAGTCGTCGCTGATCTTGTAGATAATCCATTTGATGTCCTTGCCAAGCTTGAGCTCGTTGAAGGTGCTGATGCACTCGGGCGAGACGGAGACACTGCGTCGCGGTTAGTACGTGCGGGGGCCATAGAGGGGTGCGCGAGACGGGTGTCGGGGTGGTGGTGGAGGCAGGGGGGGCTATGCGGGCGCGGTCGTCGGGCAGCGACAGCTGTTGATGCCCTGTTGTTTGTTTTGCAGTACGTACCCGGATTGAGCCTGTATCCGTTGTTAGTTCGAGTTCCCTACTAACGCATCTCAAATATTCTCACCATAATGTCGGATGTGTAAAGTAGAGGATGCTAGAGGGGGGTCGAGGCGCCAGGTAGCTTTATCAGTACTGTGGTTGCCTGTCAGCGTCGTCGTCATCGTTGCGATTGCCGCGTGCGGACATGCAGCAGTGAAGGAATGGCAGCCTGTTCGGCCATGGAGCGGTGGCAGCTTACGTCAATAGAGAAAACTGATCTGGGTGGATAGTTGATGTGTTTGCGGGAGAAAAGGCGGAGGAGGAGAGTGTGATTGCTGAGGCTGAGCGAGTAGTGGCAGGTGGGGTGGGGTTTTCTCGATGCACGTACCCTAGTGGGGTTCCTTCAAGCCCTGGAGCACGGCACGATACCAGACACGTTACAAGGTTTAGTTTGGCTCTGCCGCCACAGCAACGCCCTGTCAGTCGTCACAGCATCCCACCTCATACAAGGAACAGGCTGAACAGGTACTCTACCGTCTACGTTAGTATAAGGGTTGAAGTTCACATATTCTTCAAGGTAATGTAGACTTCTAGGAGGCAGGTGTTCGGTTTTTTTCGTGTATGAGGTGATCCACCAATCCTATTCCTTGCAGCATTCATAACTCAAGCATATGTTGTGCATCTCGAAAACTCGTTTGAACTTGTTCATATTTCCTTCGTCGCTTTATACATCTTGTCCTTCCCAGGAGATTCTTACACAATATTGTACAATAAAAACCAAATATCCAACAATGCTGCGCTTTTGTGAAATCATGAGTGAAGAGCGGAGACCAACCCAATATCGTGTACATAAATCATCGCTGGGAGAGGCATAAGACTAAAGTCATTATAACGGAATGGGGGTATAAGAAGAAGAAAACAGACGGCTAGACTTCAGGTGTTTAGAAGCCCATTCCGCCCATGCCTCCCATACCACCCATACCGCCAGGCATGCCGCCTGGAGGTCCAGACTTCTCCTCGGGTGCCTCGACAATAGCGACCTCGGTTGTTCCGAGGAGCGAGGCGACACCGCTGGCGTCAACGAGAGCAGTGCGGACAACCTTGAAGGGGTCAAGGATACCGGCAGCGATCATGTCGACGTACTCGCCCTTGGCGCTGTTGAAACCCTTGTTGAAGTCACCCTTGTACTCGTCAATGAGCTTGCCAACAATGACGGAGCCCTCCGCACCAGCGTTCTCGACGATCTTGCGGGCGGGGTGGGTGATGGCGTTCTTGACAATGGTGATACCGAGCTGCTGGTCGAAGTTGGCAGCCTTGACGTTACCGAGAGCGTTGGCGGAGGCCTTGAGGAGACCAGTACCACCACCGGGCAGGATACCCTCCTCAACGGCGGCGCGGGTAGCGTTCAGAGCGTCGACGATGCGGTCCTTCTTCTCACCGACCTCAACCTCGGATGAGCCACCGACCTTGATGACGGCAACACCACCAGAGAGCTTGGCCAGGCGCTCCTGGAGCTTCTCCTTCTCGTACTCAGAGGTGGTAGCGTCGTTGATGACGCCACGGATCTGCTCACAGCGCTGGGAGACCTGGTCCTTGCTGCCCTCGCCGTTAAGGATGACGGTGTCCTCCTTGGTGATGGTGATGGATCCGGTGGAACCGAGCATGTCGGGGGTGGCCTTCTCGAGCTTGATGTCGAGGTCGTCGCTGAAGACGGTACCGTTGGTCAGGACAGCGAGATCGCCAAGGATGGACTTGCGGTTGTCACCGAAGCCGGGAGCCTTGACAGCGGCAACCTGGAGCTGACCACGGAGCTTGTTGAGAATGCAGACGGCAAGCGCCTCACCGTCAATGTCCTCAGCAATGATGACAAGGGGACGACGGAGCTGCTGGGACGCCTCGAGAGCGGGGACAATGTCCTGGACAGCAGAAATCTTCTTCTCGGAGAGGAGGATGAGAGGCTTCTCAAACTCGACCTTGGCGGTCTTGGTGTCGGTGATGAAGTAGGGGGAGATGTATCCGCGGTCGAACTTCATACCCTCGGTAACCTCAAGCTCGTCCTCGGTGGTCTTGCCCTCCTTGACGGTGATGACACCCTCCTTTCCGACCTTCTCCATAGCGTTGGACAGAAGCTTGCCAATGTGTGTGTCACCGTTGGCGGAGATGGTGGCAACCTGCGCGATCTCCTCGCTGGTGGTGATGTCCCGCTTGTTCGCCCTGAGGTACTCAACGACGGCCTCGACAGCGGCCTGGGTACCCCGCCTCAGGTCCATGGGGTTGCATCCGGCGGCAACGTTCTTAACGGTCTCGGAGAAGATGGCGCGGGCAAGGACGGTGGCAGTGGTGGTACCGTCACCAGCAGCCTCGTTGGTCTTGGAGGCGACGTCCTGGAGCAGGCGGGCTCCGAGGTTCTCGAACTTGTCTTGGAGGGAAATAGCCTTTGCGACTGTCACACCATCTAGAATGATGTCAGCGGGCAATGTTAAGAATGGCGGCGGAACTCGTGCATACCCTTGGTGATCTTGGGGGAGCCGTAGCTCGACTCGATCAATACATTGCGACCCTTGGGACCCAGTGTTGTTGATACGGCCTTTGCAAGTGTGTCAACACCCTTCAGCAGTCCTGCTCGTGCCTCGACGCCAAACTTCAGTTCCTACTAATTGTTAGTGTTGCGTCTTTTTTGAAGATATAAGTGTGCGATTGGCATACCTTGTGCGCAAACCTCTGCTGCTGGAGGTTGTAGCTGGTGGACCGGAGCTTAGAGCTCGAGTTGAGGGCCGAAGTCCGCGCCCGCGATGCGAAAGCTCTTTGCATTGTGACGGAATTGGGATGTGTGAGTAGGGAAAAAGGAATCTCAGATGTTGCTCCTAGACTCCGGCTTTATGCAAGATAACCAGGAATAGTGTGGATGTAGAGGAGGATGCGGAGAAGAGTGGTCGCAGATGTTCGATGCCTCTAAAAATTTGGGTCGCTCGACGATTGGAATCATCGAGAAGGCGCTATGACCACATCCGCGAGCTAGCCTCGGCTTTCGATCCATAACTCCATCGCCAGCCTCACGTTTCACGTTTGTCAGCGCCTCGGATTTCTACTGGAGCGCAGGTACACGAAGGTTTTGCGTGGAACTCAATTATCGGGGATGAGCGTTGTGTGCGTTGGCCCTACTACAACCGATCCCTCTGGGGTAGCTAGGTGCCTACGCCTTCTGGCTGACCATCAACATATCACCATCGATGCGCTTGAGGCCAACACCGAACATCGAAAATATTTCCCGCCGCTCGGCACCAAGGTTCACCGCCCCATGCACCTTCTGGACCACTTCGATACATCTCCAAACGTGTAGGTACTCTTCGTCAAGCTGCCAGATTGTTCCTCTCGGGCCACTGCTCAACTCTTTCAGCATCTTCGTATTCCTAGCCTGCTCAATTTCCGTCTTCGCTGTCGGAGCTTCATCTTCAAGCGCTCTCTCTTTTGCAGCCTTCACCTCTTTTCTACTTTTTCCTTCTTTAGATATTGGCAAAGCAAGGCCCTTCTCTGCGTAGGCGGCAGTGGCTTGAGCCTTCACCGGGCCCTTCCAGAACTCGACTTGAGGGCTGTTGTTTTCGTGTAGCAAGTGGTAGTATATTGGCTCCTCACTCTCGTCGCTCAACAAGTGCAGAGGCTTGGATATCGATATATTAGCAGGAGGCCAGCGTGTGTCGCCGTATGGGCACTGGTTCTTCTCTTCTGCCGTCAAGATCTTCTGACTTGCAGTACCGCAGCTGCCCCCTCCACGTGTACCAGATGCTGTAGGCGCAAGTCGGGTTGGATCCATATGTTGTGGGACCCGCGCACGTGTAGGCGTGAAAGCTGGCTCGGGCGCAGGTAATTATTGCCGTTGTAAACGGTCTTCGCGAAGTTGCGAGCTTGCTGTTGACTAGGTTTCGGAGCTGGGTGGTTCTCTCTCCCGTAATTCTCGAGTGGATCTCCCCGTCGTATATTCCGTGGCGTAATTACCCTCTGAAAGTTCACGAAAGCGTGCAGATAGGTAATTTGTTGCCACTCTTCGCCTGGTCGTTCGCGCCAGCGCACGCCACACGACCGCCAGGTATGTTGTCCTGCAACTGTGAATGACCAGTGTGTCCAAACTGCATGATGGGGCTTTAACGCATCAAAGCCGATGCGTGAAGATAGTTTGCCCTGTTGGGTCGGGCTGTGACGAACGCGTACATCGCATGGCTGAAATACCAGGCCAATGGCGTGACTGTGCGACACTCCATCCATTAGGCGACAGAGCGCCTCCAGATAGCAGGAAAACAGCTGAGTACATTGCAATGGTTGCGCGAAAATACTGACGTGTAAGCCCCCAAGTGGTATGTCACTTCTCGAATTTCTCTCTCCGGTGGCAGTGTTGTTTTTACTGTCCAGTTAGAACCAGCCCAGAAGTCAGTCATAGTCTTAGAACCTTTGCACTGCCCACGCCCACGCCCAAGTGCGGGGCATGGCTGACCGCAGCACGGCCGGCGGCGACTTTTCGTTCATTATGCACAAGACCCTACAACACATTCGCTTTCGAGCTGTATCAGTATTCCCGAGGCACTCTAAGAAGGCTCCAAAGCCATGTATCGCCGACCCACCAATCCAGCGTTGGAGCGCGCAAGAAAAAACCTGCTAAGGCCATCACTGCCATCTGACAGGAAAGAAGGACAAATTTTAGATCGATTCTCAGCTTATGACGATTATCCGTGGGAGAAGATTGAAGAATATCTTAGAGGAAAGTGGCCAGCCTGGGACTTCAACCCAAGAAAAGTACGCGTCCTCTGCTTTTTGCGATAGTAATCCGTACTAATGAGTAACAAGTCTAATGACACTTGGATCTTTGAAGTACCAGAAAAACTGAATGAGGTACGTTTGTGCCCTTCTTAATCGCAGTACGCACAGAACTCATGTCGCGTAGAGCGATCGCAGAGAGTTAAGGAATCGACGCGACGCACCGAAAAGAACGCGGCAACCCTCTGTATCTCCGGAACCAGAGCTCACAGAGACATCTGAGTCTTCTTGAAAATCATGGGCCTTGTGTCTAGGTATGGATACGTGGAGTCTGGGCTTGCGAGTGCCACCTGGGCATTGTATGGACAGATGCCCATCAGCGGGATCACCAGTTCCGGTGGGCGCGTTGGACTGTAGTGGGCACCACTGCCGGGGGCTCAACATCTTTTGTGGCTTCGCATGCGCATGCATGCCTCACCTAAGCCCACCAAGGCTGCATATGATAAGCCAGCTGAAGAAATGAAATGTCTGCCTGCCCCTCTTCGGCCTTGCACTCACTTTCTTTCGACAGTACACCCAAACAATTTGGTTATTGCAACTGCAATTCGCGTCGCAAAGTATGCGCATGAACGAAATGCTTCCACTCGCACTGCAGACGTCTTATATCAGTCGTGCGCAATATCCAGTGAATCTGATCTCCAGCGAGACTACGACGTACAAAGACAAGCTACAATCCTACAGGAAACGTCTAGACGATGCTGAAGCAGATCTGTGCTTGGTAGACGGGGAAGACGAAGTGGACGCAATTTTCGAGGTGCCCATAATTGACATGTCTACTGATGACAGCCAAGGTACTTTAGTAGCTACAACACTACTGTTCATACTCTGACCTCCACAGTCAGGCAGAAACGAAACATCCACACTCCTTCCAAGCTTACTGAGTGGCTTGGTGTAACAACCACCGACGTTCTCAACAAGCCAAATGTGCAACACGTTCGTGCCGCGAAACGAGATCCGAAATGCCGCTTCATGTAAACAATGCACCTGCGCATGTGGGTCTTGCTGTCGGACATACTGACGTCGTACAGATACGTCTATGGCGAGAACTCCCGTGATAAATTGAAGATCACTCGCGCCAGTTTAGTACAGATCTTAACGTACCATCAGGTGATGCCTGTATATTTGGATTTCATGCTCATTTTCGGCGCCCAGATCAACGCAAAAGACCCTAGGTTCTTCGGGTTTCGCGAACAGATACGGCTGAAGAACCCCCGAAACGATCACATTGCCCCAAAACTAGGGCGAAGCGGGAAGATGTTTCAACTCTGCTTCAATCTCAAAGGTGTTGGTCTATTGACAAACAATAGCGGCGATGACGCGGAACCCAGTGACGGGTCTATCCGAACCGTATCAATATACCATCGGTTCGACGTAGAGCATGGAACGAGTCTTTGGATCGTGACCAAAGGTGGACGAGATTTGTTGGATCGGTACAAAGAAATTACGGGCCCAGATGCGCCGGAAGATGCCAGGTGCTTTTCTGATGCCGCGGCATGCTTTCGCGCAAGTCTCTCTGTTCATCTGATGTTCTGTCACTGGTCGACAGAAGATTGGCAAGGTTACATAAGCTGGCTCGAAAACCACTTGGACTACCGGGTAAGCCCACTATGCCTTGGCGCAGTCGTGTGCTGATGAACCATGACATAGAGCGATCTGGCATACCACTATAGCCAAGTGGAGTCAACTTACGAGCTAGGTGACATTGCAGATCTGCAATATTGGCGGGATAACGCTAACCAAGCGGTCCTGTTACTTAATGCCAACATCGAGATTCTCAACTCACTGCGCAAGTTCTACGTCAACCTCACAAATCGAGCGGACTTTCCAACATCACTGAAGGCTGACTGTGAGCATGACCTGGAGGTGTTTCTGTCACAGCTCGACGAAATCATGAAAGATCTCCAGAGGCAACTGGAAAGAGCGAGGCTGATCATCAACATCGTCAACGACAGAAAGGAATTGGTACTGCAACATTTGCAGGCGCAGACCGAGCAGCTCAACAGAAATATGGGAAGAGAGGCCGCTGTAATGCGCATCATTACCATCGTGACCCTACTATACCTCCCGTCAACGTTTGTTTCAGTGAGTCACTCTGTCTACCGATCATTACCTATATCTAACATGTGATAGACATTCTTCAGCAGTGATGTCGTAAAGTATCAAAATCGAGATGCGACCGGCGCGGGTGACTATACGGAGAGCTTCTCCTCGCTGGCTCTCAAGAGGTGGCTTCAAGTCACGCTGCCACTGACAGCGTTTACTTTGTTCTGCGCGTGGTTATCTATCAGATTCTACGATCATTCGCCCGGCGATCCTTCTATCGCGGAGACTTGGTATAATGCGCTCGAATGGATTAAGTATTCCATGACCATATCTTACACTCAGGCACAGGAAAGTCTTCAAGAAGTACCTCGATGGAGACTGTCTGTACAGTCAGCGATAGTGTTGACCTCTATTCGTATTCGTATAGCATCACTGTGGGCCGGAGACGTCCAAGGTACGGTGCTAGGAGTTGAGAAGACCGATCTACCGCAAGGCGCAGGCTTGCCACGTTTTCGCAATGTGAGCAATACCGTTGCGTAGAAGGAATAGCGACGCATTTCGAGATAAGGGCACTTGGCAGCGACAGAGAGTGCTTTGATATAATGTTGGCTTTGAATCTTCCAAGGTTACCTAGGTAGTCTCGTATCTGTTGTTACGAGTTCAGAGTTCCGACACGAGCTTGAAGTTGACGAAACCTATATATCACCTCCTCACTTGTATTTTCGACACCTGAGCTTCGCACTACATGCAACATGCTTTTCTTGACGATGTATCTCTGCGCGTTGACTGTACCGTATCACACCTGGGCAATCTGATAACAAAGCACGCTGCAAGTGTGCTTTATGGTACTGCGATAAAACTTGGTCGCCCCTAGAAGATGAGATGATGCGAGTAATCGAGGCATAAGCGACCTCGGGATGAGCGGATGGGTGGATTCTTGTGCTATAAGGCCAACGATAACTGTATCTGCAAGAGTGTCCCATTCTCACCGCGTCAACTCAGTTATCAGTAGCTTTCTTCTTTCTGATATCACGAAGGAAATGCGAACTGGAGCTTGCGCCACGAGGATTGTTCAGCCTTGTTGTGAAAAGTCAGCTCACAGTGTTGCTCGATCTAATTGGCGCATGGTGAGATGCACCTGCCTTGGCTGTGTCAGTGCCCCGCTTTCAGCCTGCGCACATAAGAGCTGTCAGCATAGCGCCCTTAGGATGTCGCCGCAAGAAGAACACCTCTAATTCTCATCTTCCTCTCGATATACGTGCGCTCTTATGTTACAGTTTTTATTATGCTCCCTACATGGCTGACACCTGATGATGCGCAAAACATTTGGGCCTAGCGATCATGAGGAACCAGCGTTCTACACCGGCAACTTCACTATGTCTGCGCTTTCCGCGGAACGTCGCTCAGCGATCTTAACGGACTTCCTGGGTCTCTTGAAAAGTCGTTGGACCTTCCAGGTCGCATGTCAAAACGAATGCGAGCCGGATGACGCTTGCGACTGCATACGTCGTGTCATTCACGTCAGTGCTGTCACAGCGTGGTGGAAGTCGATGACGCCCGATCTTGCGAAACAGAACAGACTGTGGCTTCTTCTCGACGACTCTAAACTCATTCAGCCACATTCATCGGATTTCAAGGAAAGTCGGTCTTCAGGGAATTATGCCCACATCCTGGTCTTCAGTATGTTACTGGAGCAAGGCCGTGGCCATCTTTTGGGACGATTTGTCGACTCTGACATAGACGATAGAAGCTTGGCGAATATGACAGATGGCAGTGAACAGAGGTTACGAAAACTTCTAGCCGAATCGCATAGTAGCACTCAAGTGGATCAAGTCATGGATGACTTTCACGGAGCGAGATGGGCATACTGTCCGTTGAGCCTGACACTCCACATGGACCAAAACTTGCAGGGATCGAAGATCATTCCACCTTTCTGCCACAAGATTCGACTTGGACATGCTGGTGGTACTGCGTCACTCTATTGGATTGCTGTTCAACGAGACCTTATCTCCGACAATGCACTTGCATTCGCACTACGTGATTCGCTTTATACTGACGAAACATATGGCGAGGTGAGCTCCTGAGCCAAGTCGTGGAGTGAATACGCTGACAACTCTCAAGTGTTATCAAATGGCCCTGAAATCCTATACCGGAAATAGGCGACGTGAGTTTGAAATGGAAAAGGAAGCATTCTCGAGCTTGCGATCGAGTGACGGAATTCCTATACTACAATACTTGGGGTCATACACCCATGACTATGGAGAGGGAACGAATCAGGGGGGAACGTATAATCTTTTGTTGGAATATGGTGAAAGCGACTTGTATCAAGCATGGGCAGACGAGACCAACGTCCCTCCTGTACAAGCTCAGGAGATACTCCAGTGCTGGAAGTCACTCTTCAACATTGCAGAAGCCATCCGTCATGTTCATCACATCGAAATCCCGCGAGCCAAAGGAGAACCTCGAAAACTTAACGGGTATTCATCCCTGGATGTTGATGAATCGTGTTACTGACTTAATCAAGGTGGCACGCAGATATCAAACCAAACAATATTCTCAGCGTTCGCGGACGACTGAAGCTGGCGGACTTTGGCTTCTTCATCTATGCCCCTGTAGTCGAGGGCCGCGACAACTCTGCACCAACAGAAATAATACGAGGATATACCGATACATACGGTCAGTCTATTTCATGAAACATTATCCTCGGCAATCATTCACTATGTACAGGTGCACCCGAAGTAACTCGCATGGTTAGACCGGACGGTACCTTGTCTAGTGTATCGCAAGCTATTGACGCTTGGTCCTTTGGTTGTGTTCTATCAGTAGCTGCGACATGGGTAGTTTTGGGGTTCCAAGGTCTCCGTCAGTATGAACGCCTTCGACAGCTATCTCCAGCGAATTCTATGAATGGCCCGGGATTAGACCGATTTCACGATGGATACCAGGTCCTACCGGAGGTGGGGAAATGGCACGACTATCTGCGTGGGCATCTTCGTCCGTCAGACACGACGACGGAGCTGGTTCTGGGTTTGATAGAGAACAAGTTGTTGCGAGCAGAACCAGTGGCACGGCACTCTCTAGAGGAGCTCTGCGAAAAGCTTCAAGAGTTGAGCGATTGGGCCCAATACAAGATCAAAAGCCTCAGGAATCACTCGCGGGATACCGATCCTGTAGTCATGAGGGCCCTCTCGAGCATAGAAGAGGAAGCTCATATCCAGAGAGCCTCTGAACGAAATCTAACCCAATCACAACAGTCCTTTGTACCTACAAACCCTCGGCAGCGGGCATCAATGCGGACAGATATGGGAAGTATGATCAAGGACAAACCTCTTGGTCAGACGACATATCGCAAGGAAATTTTGGAGGAGAAACTCGGATTATACTATGACAGAGAGGTGGACAAAACACCACTGCTCGCAGATGAGAGTCATAACGGCGACCTCACAGAAAGTCCGACTGAAGCGACACTTCCAAACGACATGCCATTTGCTGGTTGCAGGAGTAAGCCCAAAAATCCGCAGTTCCGAGCACATGAACAGGAACAGTTAGATGCAAGCATCCGGACACTGAGTGGTACACGTCTATTCTCGGAAAGCGATCGCCCTGCGACACCACCACCATCCTCCGACCGCTACATCAAAGTCTCTAGTCCTGACACTGGACCCTATAGCGATGACGTCTTCACAACACAACCAAATGGCAGTCCATTTGACATCAATCCATCCGCCAAAGACCACCCAGCAGGACTTAACCTGCGAATCGCAAGAACAGTCTCGCCGTCCGCAGGGCACTCCATCGATCTCGCTCATCCCAGTAGAATTTCGAACTTGCTGTCTCCCTTTCCGGAAACAGGATATGCGATGCAAAACTCCGACCACCTGGCTGAAAAGGAGGCGTACGCAGCAGAGTTTCCTCCATCCGGAACCATACACGGTTCCATTGAGCGGGACGTTGAAAGCGGCAATGCTTCACCACTGCGCAACCCGGTGCATTTGCAGAGTCACAAAGCAAAGGCCGCTGCTGTGTCTGATATGAGTCATACGAAATCTCTTTTCGACGACAGGCACAAGCACAGATACGAGCTGAAAGCTGAAAATGCCAGTCTAGTCGAGGCTGTTGGAAACCCCGGCCCCTCCATAAGATTATCGCAGGCCGAAGATACACAGTCAGCACAGCAGCCATCGTCGTCCGCATCGGTCACTCATACTCACCAGAAAGAAGCTTTACGCATTCATGCGCCTTCGCAGTCTTACGATGACTCCCCACGGCCACTCCCGCCCTCTGCTCTAGACCTGCCCTATGATATTTGCGTTACAAGGAAGGATATAGACTATCAGGTCTCCAAGGGGATTGCAAAACGTTTCGCAAAAGTGAAGGGCAAATTTGGCATCGAGACCAGAGCGCGAGCTCCTAGCCTTAAGGATACCTTCAGTGATTCGCGCGAAATTGTAAGCTCACTATAGAAACTTCCCATGTTGGGCTAATGCATTCCAGATCTTCATCATCGACAATGGATGGACAATGGCTAAGCACTGGCCAATCGTGACCTTCGTAGCGCAAACGCTCGCTAAGAAAGCTGCTGGTCTAGACAGGAGTGGATTCGACGTAAAATTCACGGTTGATGGCCATGCACATAATGAGAATCACGTGAAAGGAGATGCAGGTCGAGGAAGACTGCAAAAAGCGTTGAGAAAAGCGTGGCCAGAGTACAAGCCTGCCAACCACGCTACTACCGACATGGCCAAAGTGTTCAGAGATGTTTACCACGAATGGGACCGTGTCGGCCAGCCAGCTACGACACTTCTCGTCTTAACCGATGGCGTGTGGTCAGAGACAGACCTCAGGACCCTCAACATGACAATACTCGATATCGCTCGACGAGACCAACGAAATGCTGGCAACCGGTACTTCAGCATCCAATTCATCCGATTCGGGGATGAAGCTGCCGAGAAAGCTCGTTTGCAGTGGCTAGAAGACCATTTGTGCGCAGAAAATAATCTAAGGGACATCGTCGACCACTGCTCGTGGCGCAGTACAGTTGACAAAATGTTGATGGGAAGCATAGAGGGTTATTGGGATTATCAGGAACCTGAAGAACCGCCCATCTTGTATGATTACGATGACCTGGTTGGTCTGTTCAATGCGTTCAATCGAGGATACGACGGGGAATCTGGACATCTCAAAAGACTATCCCAAACGCCATTACGAGGGTCAATTCGGTCATCTGTCTCCACGTCGCGTGCAGATAGCTGGATGGAACGGCGTTAACTGACAGACGTTTTTTACCTGGATCAAATCATCCGCTAACTGCTTAACATACCTGAGCTGAAGAGTGGGTTAAGCGTTGGACTTCCTGCTTCCGGCGCGCGGCGCATACAATTTAGCATCATGCTCCTCACATATGCGACCTCGGGAGGCTGCGACTCAATGAGTGTATGAGAATTATGAGTCTGGAATTCTGGCGAGACCGCGCATCTGTGCAACGCGAATATTACTAGAGCAATGTCGCAAGAGTACGTATCATGTAATGCATCACAGATCTGAGTTGTACCGCGTGCACTTTGGATGGAAGGCGTGAGCTTCTCTCTCGATCGACAGGACGGGGAGGAAGCTTCGTTCATAACATCATATTAATGGCTGATGACGGACAGACAACCTGTCAGCTATCACCAGCTTATTCATGGAACACTCGTGCACAAGCGGACGTCGTAGCGAATATGTGGCCATCTAACGGCAAGCTTGATCATATACACGGTAATCGTACAATTCGGTAATGAGGTCCATTCATACAGTAGGTGCAATACCGCCGTCATCGAGCGAAGACCTCACCGATGGACATATCTAAAGCCAATCCTCTTCCTCAGCGCCGCACGCTCAGACAGCTGCTCCGCAACAAAGCGAACACTAGGCTTCTCGATCTTCCTAGCGCCCTCCCTCAAATATCTGCTATGTCTCGAAGCCGTGCGAACAGGGTCTGGGGTATACGGTGTCGCATCGAACCTGCGAACCAGCGGTATAGGCTTGACGTGAATCTCCTTCGGGGCACGCCGACGAGCGCGTCGTATGATTTCCCTTGAACGTATCGATATCGTCGGTTTTACTGGCTTGTACGATTCGACGACGCGAGCAGACGGTGCTTTGCTGGGAGGGAGGGAAATGAAGTTGTAGGCCGTGGTGTTGGAGGCGCGCTTGCGACGGGGCGCTCGGCTCGTTGTTTGTGCGGTCGGTGGGTTTACTTCTCTAGATGATGGTTGAGAAGTAGTTTCACTGAGGGTAGATTTGTTTGGAGTCTCACCTTGGGGTTGAGATACAGGCTCAGAACCCGTCGAGGACTCAGGAGTCGTGGTAGTCTTCTTGGCGGCAGCATTGAGTGCTGTAATGTCTGGCCTCCTAGAGCCGGGTCCCAGCGGTTTCGGCTTAGTATTCTTTACTGTGGTGTAAACAGTGCCCTTGACAGCAACGCCTCCGGTCGGCCCCTCAATCCATACATCGTATATACTGCCATGTTGCAATTTCTTCTTCTCCAAGCCGCATATGCGCATCTCCTCGTCGCAGTACAGCGGCGCTAGATTGCGATATTCGATCGACTCCAGATCGTGCTTTCCCCCGGTCTGTGCATACACGTAATGGCTCATGGTTTTCAACATGAGGAGCAGGGAAAGAGGACCGTGAACTAGCAGGTTGCGGTGGCCTTCGACGTTACGAGCGTACTCAGGATCGAGGTGTATGCGATGGGCGTTGAAGGTAAGAGCAGAGAAGCGGAAAAGAAGGGCGCGGTCGGGAGTGAGGGCGTGGGAGAAGTCTGGCTTCCCAGGGGCTACATAGAGTCAGTAGATAGTCGAGAGGGTTGTCAAAGTACGCACGCTGCAGATACTTCACGGTGGCCATCTGCCCGGCCTTGACTGCCTCCAATTCGGCAGCGGGGCGCTCCTTGAAAAAGACCAGGTTACGCTCCTCCTTCACGATGGCGTCGCCCCAATCGTCGCCGTCTCGCAACTGCTGCTCGAGATAAGTCTTTAATTTTTTACCTCCATTCTTTCCCAGTTTACCATGCTTCGCGTTGTACGTTCTCCCTAGAATGTCCACCCGTGCAAAGCGCCGCTCGATAGTGACAAAGATCTTGGCAGTGTCGCCTTCTCCGTGCAGTCGGACATGCTTTATGTGCTCCGTCCCAGACATTGGAAAATCGACTCTAAAGCCGCGGTTACGGTCGTAATACTCGTCGGGTCGTACTTGTATCGAGCCGCCAGCCCACATGCGCCGCACCCATGACCCGCCCGGGCTCTGCGACGCGTCTGTTCCATCTGGAAGTAATTCGGTTGTCCGCACCGCGGGATTGAACCATATCAAGTGATGGCCAAACGGCACCATGCGACTACGCACACCGGGGGCATAGCACCATTCTTCAGGTAAGAAACCCGAGATGGTTTGCGATAGCTTGAATTCGTGCGGAGTGGCGATGAACTCAGGAAGGTGTATGGCGTCTCGCTGCAACATTTCGGTGCGCAGCTCTTGGAACCATGGCGGATCCACCGAATTGGCTGAAGAATAGCATCGCAGCGGTATTCTTCGCCATTGCGTGCGATTCGCGTTGTCCCAGGCAATCCGACGTGCGCGCGGGGTCCGGAGCAGCATTGGGAAGAAGGGCTGCGGACATCGCAAGACCCGCCGCAGATGCTATCCTTGAAGTCTTGGCGGCTTGGTGACGTAGGCGACTTGACCGTTTGAATGCCCATCACTTATACGTAGCGTGACACTTCACCTATAACAACCATTGCTAACTTCCTATGTGCCAGTCTTCATATACTACGCGCTTGAAAAGCTGTGAAGATGCAGCAGCCATGCCAATCCAACCGCCAATGTCATCCCCGGCTGACCGCCTCGCTGCGACCCACTTGTTAGCAACACCCATCATCTTCACACCATGGACATAGCTTGCATTGAACTCGCATCCTAAGTTCAAGCTTGCAACTGATATCGCGTCACGCGTCTTGGCGTGTTTGTTTGTGTTCCTCTTTCGGCTATCCACGAGCGTCGCACCTTCTTCACGTCCACCCCGGCTCAATCTTCACCGCCAACGCCATCGTTTCCTTGCAAACAACGCCTTTACCTCATAAGCGAGACTCCAGTATGTGTGCAGTTTACCAAATTCGTGGGTTGCTGTTTCGTCTGCGTCTGAACCGCGTTCGTCATGCTAAGCCACGGAAGCCCACAGCGACTGCCACAACATAGTCAGCCGTATACGCACGAGGTGACGGTTTCCATACACGTGAGCAACAAGCCACCCCAGATTGTCACTCACCACACATCCCTGGGGCAGGAAAGTGCTGGACACCTTCACACCCAGGATATCACCTGCACAGCGATGACGAGCAAGATGGAGCTGCTGGAGTGTCCCATGTGTGACTTCACCGTGCTTCAGAAAGATGACTACATTCTGCAACTACACTTTGAGCAGGTGCATACCGAGAACTCTCCTTTCGTGATAGAAGACGACCCAGAACCGTTGCCCCCTTCGTTGCCCCTCAGGCCTTCCTCGCTCCGCCACGACACTGAGGACACGCCTTCCTCCGACGACTCGGAAGAGGAGGAAAGCACTACAGTCTGCCCTGATCCCAACTGCGGCGAAGTCGTTCCTCTCTCCGACTTCAACGACCATCTCGAATACCACAACGCAGAAACTTTATCATTTGACGAGACTACAGGAAAGTATCATTCTCATCATTCATCCGCTACTATGCAAGGCTCGACCTCATCTCGTCGTTCCCATGCAAGTCAGGCAAGGACCACAACATCCGAGCGAAGTTTCAGCACAGACTTGTCAGATGCTTTGAAGAGGACTGATGGTCACGGCCGCAAATCGAAGAAGCACCCACATCGGCATCGGCGCGACACCGATGAGAGCGAGAAGAGTACCATCGGAAGGAGTATTCTAGGCTTTAATCCTTTTGCGAAACCCGATAAGTCCGTCAAGCCACCGATCAAAAGTGCTCGGCTAGGTGTAAGTCAATCTTCCTTTTGGCAGAGCGTAGCTAATCTCCGCAGAAATCCGAACTGGGACCCTACGCTTGGGAGAATCGAATGCCTAGGTGGCTGCACGATCAGCTGGATGCCGGCCCCAAGATCACTGCCGTCAACCGCATCGGCCGAGATGGTCGCCTCATCAAGCATGATCAGGTGCAGAACGAGACGCCAGGCATCATTCCCATCCTCGCGCAACTATCTGCTCTTGATCGGACCGTGAAGGAAGCATATTACTGTCATCCATCGACACTCCACGTCGGTAAAACCCCAAGCGAAGGCGGCTTTTGCGGTTACCGGAACATACAAATGCTGCTGTCCTACATCCAAGGCGCCAAGGCTCAAGGCTACGAAGAATTCCCAGGACGGCTGCCGACTATCCTGAAAATGCAAGATCACATTGAAGATGCTTGGGATAAAGGCATCAACTCAATCGGCCGTGTCCAGACTGGTGGTATACGTGATACCAGAAAGTACATCGGCACACCAGAGGTAACATCTTACTCACCTTCAACTGTTCTTTGCTAATATGTAGCAGGCTCAAGCCTTTTTCCTCAACTCAGAAATCAACTGCGCTGTCGAGCAGTTCAGCGACAATAAAGATCGCGCGATTGCGGCTCACGAGCTTCTCCTCGCTGCCATGGAACGATATTTTGCGCGAGCGGCTGCCAGCGACGGATCCAATGTCTCCAAGACTCTTCTACCGCCTATCTACCTTCAGCAACCAGGACACTCGATCAGCATTGTCGGTTTTGAGCGCCGCTTTGACGGCTCATGCAATCTGGTCGTCTTCGATCCCATGTATCTCACGAGTCCTGCGATGCATAAGCTGCTTGGTCGGAAAAGCATCAGGACAGCTCGACCCGAGGTTCTGTACGCATATCGTCGCGGAGCTGGGAAGCTTAAGAAATACGCTGCTTACGAGATTCTGATGTATGTTCATTAGTCGATAAGCGTTTGTCGCATGCTGACTTTGCTCAGGCTCACTGCATCACCGCCTTTGTTTCCCGCTTGGGATGTATGAGCATCCATCCTCAAGCCTGACCCTTGCATATAATAGCACAGTCCGTTTCTACGACATCTACTGAACGTTGCTCTTCTAGGTACTTCGTCAATTCCCCGAGTGCCGCTTCGTGTACGTCTTCTTCCGTGCACGCACCCTCGGATACGACGTGTATCCAGAAGACTATTTCCTACGAAACTTTCCGTGGCAACAGTACGGCGGACTGTGGTCTTGCGACGATGCTCGGTTCGCCCGAGCGGAGCCGATGAACCCACTCACAGCTCTGGCTCTACGTCGTATCACGGGCGAAGGGTCTTCGAGCTCCAGCAATAACAATAGTCCCACAAGTCCCACAAGCTTCTTCACAAACAGCTGTTTTCAGCACATGCCTGCAGACGAGCATGATCGACTTCCTTCATGGCTGGGCTCGCTCGATGGTTCGGCGAATGGCTTTGTGAGCCCACCCCGGTACGGCGACAATAGTCCTGTTTACAACATGGGTACAATGAGCGCTGCTCTGCCTCAGCCTAGGGCAATGAAGCCACAACTGTCACTTCTGACGGATGTTGGAAGAAAGTATCCTGGATTCCCCACGCCCTTGTCCCCTACCCTGCCAGCAAAGGAGGCTTACCCTTCGCCTGCATCTGACGCTGGAAACAGAGCTGCAACACCTCGCGCTATGAGCCCTGCAGTGCGTACAGTGAGCCCGATGAGCATCGACGGCTCAGCCACGTGCTGGCCTTCCCTTCGTTGCGAGCCTCATGGACATGCTCAGCATGCGTCACAGATGGGTCTCATCGACAATGTACTCTTGGGTCCTCAGCAGATGCGTAACGGATGCCGCACTCCATCAGCATCCTCGCAAGTCATTACCGGTCTCGCGAGTCCTCCTGCCAGTCCATCACGATGTGTATCTCCGCGTACGACCATGCTGAAGAAGTTTGCCGGAAAGCAAGGTTACCAAGACCTATCGCCAAAGTCCATGCAGGATCTAAGGGTTGAACTCGGAGTCCATCCCGGCGCTCGGAACTTCGACGCATACCCAGCGTCTCCCCCTTCATCTGTTCGCTCTTTCTCGTCAGCCTCCCACCGTCAGCCGGTATCGCCTTCTTTTGCTATCGCCAACGGCGTGGAGTCGGAGGCAACGTCACCCATTGATCCCTCCGGTACCATGCTCTTTTACACGTCTAATCGCAGCGTCGATTCGGGCCTACTCGGCGTCTGCCCGCTTTCTGAACCACAGGTCGCTGAGTACAGATTCTGGCGTCCCTGTGGGAGACGCATCTGTGGTTTTGGATGCGGAGGCGCGAATGTAGGCGAGGCGGCAGCTGCAAAGCGGCTATTTCGACAAGCCGAGGAGGTCATCCCTGAGATGGAGGACGAGGTTGGTAATGACGATGCAGGAATGACGCAGAGTGAAGAGCACGAGTATGGTCTCGATGGCCAGGCCGATAACAGTACGAGCGATGCAGGTCATGCCAATGGAGAAGGCAAGTTCAGCACGAGCACTTGGGCAGGTCGTCGACTGGTGATGGACTGGAACCAGTTCTTGTCAGGCTGCGAGAGGGATGGCATCGCGCAATTCTGATTGAGTGCAGATGCGGTGAGGGGTATTGCTACGTCTCTGTGACTTGGCGGCATTGCGACGGAGGTACTCGGGGGTACTCTGCGGTACTATGGGGCTCACTACAGGATCGTGATCGGGGGCCTTTTGTCTTTTGAGTTTATCTATAACACTCGTTCATTACTTGATTGGCCAACATGGAGTCGTGCTGTTCATCGTCGCGGTTGTGCCTTGTCGGGCACATGATGCCGCGTTCAGCTGCCCAAAGACGTAGGCGTGGCTAAATGTGGCGTCGAGATGTCGTAGGGCATAGTTCGCAACACTAAACTGGCGTCTGGATGTCAAAAATCTATTACGGGGCAAGTGACGTGCCTTGAAATCCAAGTCGAGCTAGGCTAGATGACCCAATCGGCGATGATGACCAGCTAATCACCCGGCGTGTGCAGCCAGCGCTGCAGAGATCAAAAACCAGTATGATCTGCCGGCCTAGACCGCGTAGACTCTCGTACTCATATGTCCTGTTCTTCGCCCCCAGCCCTGGATGCCCGTGAGAATTTCGCCGTCCCGGGTCTCAGGTCGCCTCTTGACAGGCACGCGCTCGTGGGGTGTGGTATGACGTCACGCGGATCTTCCTTCTCTCAGCACGCTTCTTCCTACCACCTGCTTTCGCTTTGAGACACGCCGAGCGCGTTCGCCTGCATCTGCGCCATGGAGAACCTTGACAAGTTGTCTGCGACGGGTCTGCCAGTGTTTGATCTGAATGCGGAGAATCTGTGGCGCAAGGACTGGTGAGAAGACGACCAAGATGCATGCGCTCCTGCTGGGCCCGTACTGACACCCGCCCAGGACTAAAACCACCATCGGCTCGCGCGAGTCGTGGCCTGTTGCATTAACATGTCTCGTCCACACGTGCGTGCTGCCCATGCCCCACTGCAGCGCCATCTTCTGGGGCCAGGACCTGATAGTTATACACAACCTCGCCTGGGAGAAGGCACGCGGTGGTCTTGATGGCCAGGCCACCCTCGCGCGCGAAAGCTACGGCCATGA